ATATTTGCATTTTGGTTACTGCTATAATAGAGATATTCCAGTCTGCCATAATACATATTTAGCTCTTACAGGAATTGGTCATAAATATTTAGAAAATATAAAATGTCATTTACAAGAATATGGTCTCGAGGAACATGTACATGGCAATACTTGTAAGGCCCCAAAAAATATAAATCATATTGAAGTAAATTACGATATAGCATGTGATGTTTTTTAAGTTCTTAACAAATTATTCTAATATACATGGTTTGCTATCTCACAGACATCATTTTAATAAAATTTCTACACCAATCGTGTTTCTTCTGACTAGTCTTAGTTATGCTTCAGTATACTGTGATTATGTGTTAGCTTGCAAAGATAAGTATGGAGAAGATGCTCATATTATGTCTGAATCAACCTTTATTAATATTTGGAAAATTTTATTTCCATCACTTCAATTTATGTCTCCAAAATGAAACTTGCAAAATGATAAAAATGGATATTCAATATGCTACCCAACATGAAAAAAAAATTAGAACTTACTAATAACTATTTGGCTTATTTAAATCATGCACAAAAAGAGCGTAATTACTATAATAACAATGCAATTGAAGATAAAAAAACAATCAAAATAAAGTTAGTTCCCAAGTATTTTTTAAAAATTTTAATGGCAGTGCACACATTGCATTTGATTGGGTTCAAAATGTGCAAATACACTAAATGCATGCCTTCTTTTGGGCCCAACTAATATTACATCTATAGATTTTTATCTCCCTAAATGCAATACCTCTTAAATACACATACTAGAGCTAGTCCTGATGACGTGCATTTCGAGAGGTCTGACTGTACCATATTTACCTCAACAAATCAGTTCTTTATATTTTAAAGGTTCTCGAAAAGTGCATTTATTTGGTGTTTGTAATACTAGTAATTTTCTACATATACAACAAATTAATTACATAATTGATGAAGAGAAATGCTGATAATGGTAAGCAAGAAAAAGGTGTAAATTGTACTTTAAGCTTAGTTTGGCATGCAATTTAAAAATATAATCGTGAAGAAAGTAAATTAATTATCACATATGATAACTGTGTAGGTCAGAATAAGAATAACTATTCATTATTTTTTTTTCATGGTTAATCGATATACAAAATTTATTTGTAATGGATATTTCGGTCTTATTAAGATTCTCTACTGAAAAAGTAAAGTAAATATAGACGATGTGGCTTCAATTATTAATCACTCTACTACAATTAACTTTAATATTTCTCAACGTTATTTGAATGGAGAAGGATTTAAATATTATGACTTTAAAAATTATTTTCAAACATTCAACAAACTACCAAATATTCAACAATACCATCATTTTTATTTCACGTCACAAAATCCAGGAGTTGTCTTTTATAAAGACAATCTTGATGATGATTACAAAAATCTTACAATCTGGTCTTCCCCTTTTAATGCTAATATTTTACCCTCTACAATTAATGTCAAACCACTTTTTTTAAAAAGGCGCAGAAAGAACTATACAAAGAAATTGCGCCTTACGTGGACTTACCCTTCCAAGATATTACTTGCCCCAAACCCGAAGGTTAAATAGTTAAATTAAAAATTTTCGTTAATGGTATAGATAAATTGATTTATGCAAACAAATGACTTCATTTATATGTACAAACTTTAGTATAAATCAATTTTAGTTTATGTTAAGTTTATCTATAATGATAAAGTCTTGCATATGCTTGTTATACGTTGTACTGCTAAATATAATTCTAAGTGTAAGTATGAACATGATTTTTTAATAATGCTGCCTGTTACTTTATTAATAATACTGTGCCTGGTACTTAAAAACTTGATATAAGTAAAATAAATATGAATTAAAGACGTTTATAGAAAATATATTATTCTCGCTCAGATCTATTTATTGATTCGATGAAAATACACTATGGAAGTAGTGCCAGCTATGGCTCTAGCTCTTCATAGGTGCTAAACATATTAAATGATAATAGATTACATGATAATTGATTATATGATAATAGATTATATAATAATAGATTACATGATAATAGATTACATAATAAGGCCAGACCAACTAGATTCTGTGGTTTACATTACCTCTCTCCCCTCCGGAGGAGGGGGATTTGTGGTTTACATTGTAAAATTTTCAAAAAAAATTTTTTCTAAAAAAATTTTTTCCGAATTGTTCTGTGACTATATAAAATTTTTCCGAAATATCCCTTAGCCATATGTATATTTATCTAAATTTTTTTACTATGAGGGAGAGGAGGAATGCTAAGGGAGGGGGTAATATAAAACAAAGAATCAAATTGGTCTCGCCTAATAGATTACATGATAATAGATTACATGATAATAGATTATATTTGATAATGGTGTATAATAGTCACGTGACTAAGCTTTAACAAGGATCAGTATATGCGTGACATACTACGATTTAAGAAATAGCTTATGCTAAGGTGTAGTGCATTAAAAATAATAAAGCATTTTTTTTTTTTTTTTGCATCAAGAGTCGGGGAGCAAGTTACCAAACAAGACCCTCCAAGTCAATAAGCACATCCTCAAGCAGCTCACTTCAATTACAACTACCATTATTTATCCTCAAATATTTCCCTTTTTTTTTTTTTTTGTTTTTTTGGAGGGGGCCAGAGAGACCACAGCACAAAAGTATCTTCCATTTATTATTCATTCTTTAATTTCATTTTGTTCATTCCTTTTTTTTTTTTTTTTTTGGGAGGGCCACAGCACGAAAGAGCCAGAACAGAGTTAGACAGCGAAGGAAAAAAGCACTGCTAATTCCAATTTTCACAATTAAACCTTAAATAACCAATTCCTGTTTTATATCTGTTATGGGTTAATATAGGGGTGATCCTCGCGATAATAACTATTACACCTTTTTGCTGTGGGGGTCCCATATAGAACTTTCACTCTATACAGTTATTGTGTAGATAATTCATGCACTACACCTTCACTGGTTAATAATTTGATAAATGTATTAAATTAATTTTGATTTTTTTTTTTATTAGTAAATAATTTTTTAATTGTTAGTGCCCTTTTCTTCAGAAATTCCTCAAATCAAAACCATCTCAATATTCTTTCAATCCCAACTCCTTCAACTCCTAATATTTCATCTAGTGTAGAACCAGCTGTTTTGGCCTTTAGTAGTACTGTTGCCGATGCTGCAAATACTGCTTCAAATACTGCCAGGGATATTGCTACTGTAGCCTAGCCCTTTATTAACTCAGTGCTTTGACAATTTTAAACCAAGAAGTCCTACTGCTAACGTTTTTCACAATTCCTTATTTAATAGCTTTAATATTTAATGTAATTTCTTTATCTTTATTATATTTTCATTTTACAATTATTGCTGCTTTACTCATATTAACTTCTTCCTTACTTAATTTCATTGCTTATTTTTTTGATCTCTTATTTTTGTTTGGATATTTGATCTTATTTCTATCATTCCTGGTATAGGAAGTCAAAACACTGGTCCTGATATTTATTTGGCTACTATGGGTATTTCCTTCTTAACTGTTGCTACTATTTTATTATATATTGGTTCATGTAGTACTGTCAGGAGCACTAGTATTGAACAATCAATTTTTGACTAAATTATTGACTCATTATATTTTTATAGTCAGGCATACAGTGATATTCCTTTTGATACACATTGTTTATGATAAATTATATTCTGTTTTCAAGATACATGTGTCTAAAATTGGGTAATATAAAATAAGTAAAATTGGTCTAATTGTTTAATTATAGGTAGGTTTGATTTAATTAATATTGAACTGTTATGTTAACCAGTATTGTTTCGAAAAAAAATTTTGATTAAGAATTTTACTTATCTTTAATCCTAATTCACCAATTCATTGTAAATTAAATTAATTTTTTTAGCAAAAATTTACTTTAAGCAATAAAATAAATATAAACTTAATATTTGTTTTTGAAGAGACCACTTTTATTTGAGCTGTGTTCTTCTATAATAATGCCAAAAAAAAAGGTATTTACAGAATATTCTGAAGTTTATATTCATCTTAAAAAATAATATTAATTTTGTTCTTATCAATTTGTCCATAAACAACAGATAAAGTAACTAATAAAAAGGAAGTCAAGCATGTAACTATAAATCTCCAGTTTTTTTTATTTTTATTTTATTATTTTTTTTTACAATTTTGCTATATCACCAATCAAATAGTCCTATGTGCAAAGTTTCAAACTTTGCTTATAAATTATGATTTGTAAATTCTATATATATGAGCAACATATCACTATGGCAATAAATTATTAAACCTTTTTTGTTTTTTTATTTTTATTTTATTTTACCATTTTTAGAAAATTAAAAGGATGGTATCTAATTTTTGGTTTACAAAATCTCTCAGTTTTTACATTTTTATTTTATTTTTTTATTTTTATTTTTTGACCATTTTTAGAAAAAGGAAGCAATCTTACAAACAGTGTATTAGACCATCCTGTACCTAATTGGGTTTTTAAAAAAGTCTCAAACACATTAGGTGAAGAGTTTACGCATATAAGATACATAGCCATCAAATGCGATCTAGACGAATTTATAAAGAAATATTCAATTCAACAAAAAATTAATGAGCGATATACTGAAATAATAATTGTTATTACAATATATAATGAAAACGATACTCACTTTATTAAAACAATATCTTCTGTCATCAAAAATGTGGCCTATATTTGTTCAAAAAAAAGTCAAAAACATGGGGAAATGAGGGTTGGCAAAAAATTGTTGTGTTAATAGTTGCAGATAGTCTTAATAAAATCAATAAACATATTCTTAATATTCTGAGTCTTATGGGTTGTTATCAATATGGAATTATACAAAAACGTGTCAGAGGTAAACCTGTTACTGCACATCTTTTTGAATATACTACACAATTAATGGTCGATGATGATTTTAATGTCCGAGAGAATGACTCACCAGTGCAAGTTATCTTTTGTTTAAAACAAAAAAATGCAAAAAAATTAAATTCTCATCATTGGTCTTTTAAAGCCTTTGCGGCTCTTTTGAACCCAAAAATTTGTATTTTACTTGATGTGGATACAAAATCCTCGCAAATCTCATTTTACCACTTGTGGAAAGGTATACATATTTAATTTTGTTTGAAGTTGGCTGATACTGAAAATTGAACTTCAATACTTTAAGATTTAGGTTAGATTACTAATAAAAGAGTACCCTCAATCTTAGCATCAGCTAATTTCAGCATTAAATTGCTTTCGCATTGATATTTTTATCAATATTATATATTTCAGCTTTTGATCATAATCAACATGTTGGTGGTGCTTGTAGAGAAATTAAAGTAGATCTAGGTTATAAATGTAGAAACCTTCTTAATCCTTTAATCGCATCTCAAAATTTTGAATATAAAATATCTAATATCTTAGACAAGCCATCAAAATCTGTTTTTGGTTATATCTCAGTATTACCAGGTGCTTTCTCCACATACCGATATAAAGCATTATTGGGTGAACCTTTGGAAAAATACCTTAAAGATGAGACTATGTATAATAATTCATATGCTACTAAGACTGGTATATTCGAAGCAAACATGTACCTGGCAGAAGATCGTATTTTAAGTTTTGAGCTTGTCATTAAGAAAGATAAATCATGGAAATTAAAATACATAAAGGTAACAATT